AGCTACTGTCTTTATACCTCAGGGCCCAGTTGATGTGTCCTTGTGAGTCCTTGTGAGCCCAGCTCCAGCTGGGTCACATTCTCTATGCTCGAGGACAGGGAATAAATAATTCCAATATTATTTCCTAAATCAGTGGCAAAATTTTAGTTAGAAATGTATACTTAAGTAATAAATACATCATTTCCTCAATCTCCCCCTGATCTTTGGCATTTAATATGTAGATTCCTGCTCTTTACCACACAATATATAAAACAACCAACCCTATTCCTGAAAGGTTGAGCTACTTCATCAAACACACACACCAGAGCAATTTCAATCATGAAGAGACTATATGGTAAAATACTGCTGTTAGAATGCTGCCTACATTCTGTTTCATAGATACAACAGATGCTTTTGTAATTGCTGCATAAATTGTTCCTCCTCATTCAGTCCTGGGAATAACAGAAAGGGTATTTGATTTTGAGATAGAAAACCTGGATTAGAACCCTGCCTCTGTCACTTTCTGCCTGTAACTCCTCTGGCAGGTCAGTTAACTTCGCAATCCCTCTACAACAAATAAAGGTAATAATACCTACCTTGAAGGATTAAAACCAAATACCAAACCTGTTGTAGAGGGAAAACATCACAAAGATTAGTAAAGCAAAATCAAAGTTTTATTCGTCATATATTCAAAAAGGCAAAAGTGGAAAAACGGACAAGCATGCTGCCAGAGCCATGTCTGCCCAAGTCCAAAGAATATTACAGAATAGGCAAGAGTGGGAGAATGGACAAGCATGTTGCCATAGCCATGTCTGCCCGAGTCCAAGGAAATATCACAGAACAGACAAAAGTGGGGAAATGGACAAGCATGCTGCCACAGCCATGTCTGCCCAGAGTCCAGCGACCATTACAGAGCCATCAGTATATATTAACATTACAAATGGGCAAAACCATTGAAAGCTTCGCCTTTTCACAGATTGGCTAGAAACTGTGATCCTACGTTTTGAATTGTCTTTCTTAACAATCATTGGTACAGGTTTCAGTTAGGACAGTCAGAAGGGTCTTCATCGGTCCAACAAATTTCTATTCACTAAATGCTAATAGAAAAAGATGAGACTAGAAAGTCTTTTATGTTCTGTTTGATTGGCTTTATGTAAAAGCTTCCCTAAAGATATTTTCCAAGATTATCCTAGCTATTGTCTATCTCAGGGCCCAGTTGATGTATCCTTGTGAGTCCTTGTGAGCCCAGCTCCAGCTGG